ATATATATATATATATATATATATATATATATATATATATATATATATATATATATATATATATATATGGATATATGGAGCTCGGTGAGTAAGTTATTTTGCGAGGCACGTCTGCCGTATGCCCTCCCAGATGACAGAAGGAGAGACCCTGGGAACGAAGAAGAAGAATTTATTCGCACCAGTCAAAAATACATAATTACAAATTTTTTCCACACATTAAAACAGAGTTGGCACAGGATATCTGAAACAGCTTTAACACTAATCGAAGTCAGATAACCTTATTAAAGTATTCGAGCCACTGTGGGTCAACATTGGGTTTAAGGTCATGGTGCACAATGATTATACAGATGCAAATTAAAATCTATAGACATATGCAAAAACAAAAGCAAGCATAAAGCCAGTAATCATTAATTATAAATTTGATTTTAGTTAATTTGAAAGCAAATGAAAAACAGAAGTAAGCCGTATGACAACACAACAAAAATTGCCGTATGCCTTGCATGTGCTAAACATCAGTGCGATTTATACATTATGCATGATTTTGAATTCAACGGACTAACCAAGATACTGTATCATTAGACCGCGAGTGGTAAGATATCATTGACTTTGTATTTCTTATTTGGTTTAGAAAACGATTTTATCAACTTAGTTCATAAGGCGGCAATCTCGAGGGTGACATCAGGAACTGCGTTTTTTGGTAAATAAACATTTAATAAGTTATCAAACTTTATTAACTACATGCGTCATAGATGGCCACAACCGTTCTTGTTTGAAATCAGGAACGTGAAATTATATTGATTTTCACCTAACCTCTATATAATTGTTTTTCTAGGTGAAAGCTGTTCTGTGGTCTCAATAAGGAACGCTATCAAAGCTTTTATGGATTGCCGCATTCTTCGTCAAGAAACAGCCACAGGTCATTTAATGTTAAACACGAAACAAAATGATATCATCGACTTGATGGCCCGTATAAATAAATATAAAAGATAGCTCTAAATTTCTGAGTATTGAATTAAGAAAAATTTTAATTTAGAGCTTGAAATGTATGCGTGACAGTAATAATAATGTGCATGACAGCCAACTCTCATGTAGCCTCCTGCGCAGACGTTGTTAGTGGCCTGAGGCCTCGGGCCACTAACAACGTCTGCGCAGGAGGCTAAGGCCCGGTTTAGACGGCGAACTTTTCATGCGCCGAATCTAATTGTCGTAGATACGGCAAAATATCGGAAGCTGATTTAGACGTCGAACTTAATTGTACCGTACCAAATTGCGAGGACACGATATTGGACATATTTAAAATGAAAATATATGATAATCATATTATGATGTTAAAAAATAATTATGCATTAGGTTCGGCGCATGAAAAGCACGGCGTCTAAATCAGTGTCGAACCTGTGTCGCATATACGACTTGTCTTGTCGCATCTTCGAGTCATGTCGAACTTAATCAAAACCTGTCGAACTTAATTGATTTAGACGCCGCTCCAGCGTCGCACTTAATTCTTGCATTAGATTCGGCGCATGAGAAGTTCGCCGTCTAAACCGGGCCTAACTCTCATGAGGACCCAATTAAATTGCCAGGAATGATATCCCCTTCCCCCCGCAGTCGCTTGATTCTGCTTCAAAAAATTTAATATGTACTAAATTTGAGGTAACTGAACGTATTAAAATTAAAGGCACAGTTCAGCCTTTTGAATGATGGTTTTTATGGCACATTAGGAAAATCAATTAAATAATTCAAGATCAGTAAACCTTAAAACCCATCATTCAAAAGGCTGACAGAATATTAAATAGGCTACTCTACCATGCCCAAATGATCTTTTTGGCAACGGCTTCAAATATATTCCTCGATAGTGTTATGATAAGGCAAAATCCGCAGAAATCAGACTCTCGTTTTTGATTTTTATTTATAACAGCAGGAATTTTGCATAGTTGTGGTGTATGGATTTTTATACTTGTGGTGTATGGAATTTTGTTGTGCGCCACGTGCAAATATGGGGTTGTACGTTTTCAAAGAATTGATTTGAACTCAGTTTTTGGGTTGAAAATACTGCAAAAGACCTCGTTTTTGTTGTGTGTATACATAATGCATCCATCTCATGAGAGATTGGGAGTTGAAGTGTTTATACCAGGAGAAAATAAGCAGAAGAATCCCTCTTGTCCACATGGTATAAGTATTTATAAAAAATATTTTTTTATTATTAAATAATAATTGATGTTTGTGATGTTTGAGGTGATGTTTATACTCTGAGTGTATATCCAAACTGGGCGAGCTTGAAAATATGCCCGGCCACGAACGCGGACGAACCCGGTTACTCGAACCTACCTGACCGCGCAGCTCAGTTGGCAGAGCATATTGGGCTAGTATTCCAAAGGTCGTAGGTTCAATTCCCACCGTGGCCAGGCATATTTTTCAAGCTTGTCCGGTGTGGATATCAGACCTCTCAACTTTGTAGAGAAGTTAAGAGTGAGATTGGGGACGTGGTTGACACCTTTGTAAATGCCTGGGGGTCTGAAATGGCATTTCGTACATTATGAGAGTTGGTGTTTTTTAATGAAATATGTCCCGTGGGATGGGATTCCCGTCCTGTGAATATTAAAATTTGGATTTGAAATAAAACGTTAACTGCAATAATAAAAGCGACAAATGTTAGGAAATGTTTTGTGATTTAGCCAAAGCCATGAAACAAATATAAATAGCAGTAAATATCACAATTGAAAAATATAAGGAAAGCTTTAGAAATGTCAATCTCGTATACAGAGTATAATACCTGTAGAAATTTCGACTTTGTTACCAAGACTTAGAGGCTGCTAGTATTTGTTATTATACTAAGTTTCTATATATATACTTACCACAAAAAGATATAAAATGTAGGCTAGAAATCTTTCACGCTTCAACAGAACAAAAACTTTAGATTTTCGTTGAATTTCTCCACCACCTCTGACCGTAACCACAGAATAGGAAGGTATAGCAGAAGTGTAACTTGAATCGGTGTTTACGTCCACAAAAATTTTAAATCGCTCACACCATCCTGGCTAGTACACCCGGAAGTTTTTATCAGGTTTTGGTAGGTACAAAGTGCCGGTTGTACTAGCCAGGAGGGTGTGATTGATGACAAATTGCTTGTAAAAACGCGGACAAATACTTGCTTGACTTACACTTCTTCTATATATATACCTTCCTATTCTGTGCTGTAACACAGAAAATATGCAACTGCATACTAGCTTTGACACTCAAGACTCTTTAGTCAGTTTAAATTTAAAATTAAGTTTCTTTCAATGTGAAGACACTAAGACAGGGCAGTGAAGTGTTTGGACAGAATTAACTGAATGAAAAGCTTACGATCTTGTATCAGCTTTTATTAGCATGTTATTTGTATTTCTGCATCGATAAAATCCAAAACAGCCATAGGAATGCTTTCTTTTCTTTGCTTATAGCCTTCTTCCTTTAATTTTACTATTAGTTTCCATTTTGACATGCACAACAAATTGAATCAAAATGATTTTTCGTCCTGCAGGATGAGAATCCCGAGGGATGTCGAAGCTGCACTACCCACGCAGGGCCGCTAAACTTTTCCCTAAAAAATCTTGGAGACAACTCTAACCAACTCTGTAGTCTGGCAACAAGGTGGGCTGGCCCTCCTAGTGAGACTGAGTAAAAAACCTTGCTGTATCCTTGATTTAAATAATATTTAGTTCTAGAACAGATATTCAATTGTCTGATAGTTATTGTTAGAAAATTTGCATAGCAGAGTATGATTTTGGGTTTGAGACAAGCCATTTGAGTGTTGTTCCAAAAGGGTGACTTCCCACTAGTCCGAAGGTTCACTAGTCCAAAGGTTCACTAGTCCGAAGGTTCACTACTCCGAAGGTTCACTAGTCCAAAATATATGCTGGTTTTGAATTGCAATTACGTGTTAGACTTGGCTGCTTCACAGTTAAGCATTTTTCGTACCTGCATACACGCACAGAAAAATTTAAATCCACTTGAAAGTCTTTTGTCCACTTAAGAAATAATTAAATGAATAAAAGGATAGCATTTAATTTTGTGTTTGATTTTAAATGTATTTTTTAAGTAATTATGGTACTTATACCGGTATAAAATTTAGAAAGACTTAAACTTTTCCGAGTGTATATATGTACGTGAAAAATGCGCAACTTGAAAGTCGCCGTATAGTCATTGGACGTTTAAGGCTGCATTTTTCACATACATATATATGCACTCGGAAAAGTTTATAAATCTTTCTAAATTTTATACCGGTATAAGTATAATAATTACTTAAAAAATACATTTAAAATCAAACACAAAACTAAATTATATCCTTTTATTCATTTAATTATTTCTTAAATGGACAAAAGACTTTCAAGTGGACTTAAATTTTTCCGTGCGTGTACAAGTATGAAAAATCCTTAACTGGGAAGCAGCCAAGTTTAACACATAATTGCAATTCAAAACCAGCGTATGTTTTGGATTAGTGAACCTTCGGAGTAGTGAACCTTCGGACTAGTGAACCTTCGGACTAGTGAACCCGCGGACTAGTGAACCTTCGGACTAGTGAACCTTCGGACTAGTGAACCGTAACCTCAGAAAGTGATTAAGGATGCAAGCCAGCCTTAATGTAAGATAAGATCGACAGCTGATTTTTTTCATATCCTACCATACAGTATAGATATATGGAACCGATCAAAGCTGGGGATTCATATGAAAATTTGTAAAGAGGATTGTGAATATGAAATAATCTTAATTTGACATATTCCTTCATGCACCTAAAAAATGTCAATGTTTATTCCAAACTACGTACTTCCAAAATTGCACAAAAGTCTCGATCGCATAGGCACTGTCACTGTGCTTGTATATGCAGGGTAATAGGGTAAATATAAAGATAAAATTAGCTATACTGGGCTAATGTACTATCATTTATGATTCAAGGACCCATGTTGATGTTTGAGAGATACTTTGAATCAAAACCACCAAGACGATTTTACTCCTGCTCGGCTTGCAGGGATCGCAAAGAATGTAACTTTTTTCAATGGGAAGATGAAACACCCTCGATAGCATCTCAAGATGCACACAGACGGATAATAGAGGCATCAAAGCCATCAATTAGTCATACTCAATGTTTGAAGAGACTTAAACGTGTCAGACGTTTAAAAGAAAGTCAACGAACATATTGCCATACTTGTGCACAATTATTGCTACCAAAGGAAATGGATAAACATAATGATCATGAGATGACATCTGGAATTTCAGATGACATTGTTTCAAGTCCAAGTTATCTGTTCAAGCCTTTGGACAAGAAAAAGTCATTTGCAGTATGTTTTTCATGATTTCTCATGTAATAGAAATTCAATATTCACGAGTTTAACTATAGTGCGAGGCATGATGCGAGGCATGATGTGAGGCATGATGCAAGCCAGCGAGGCGTTGTGCGAGGCATAGTGAAAATTATAACTAACACGTTTAAAGTGCCTACGAAACCCAAAATTTAATTAAAATGAAAAAAAATACATTACAGCCTTAGGCAGTGGAATTTCCCAAATTTCAGGGAAATGATAATGTGATTATTCAGCCATCCTCAAGCCTCAGAAAATAAATTTCCAATGGCACCAACTGATTAGTGCCTGCATAACACTGGACACTTTGTTCCTGACAAAAAATCTTAACACAATACATAGAGCAAATAAATATAGTTTTTTGTGGTCTGCATTGAAATAAAAGAAGCCAATTAAAAGCTAATAGCAACAACATTTACCATAAGCCACTAGTCAATAATTATATCATACAGAATCAAACAATAATAAATTTCACAACATTTTCGCAGGCATTAACAGTAATTGTCTCAAAATTCAAATGCGATGAAATTTGGACATGCAATGTCAATTCTCATATACACAATTTTTAAATGCAGAATTAATGCAAATATTTTGAAATGTTATAATGAAATTTTTAATGCCAGTTGTAGACAATTTTACCAATAGTTGTATTACTGTAATATTGTGTCCCGGATATATTAATTACCTTTTTGTACCAGGCAATGTCTGTGACCAGCCATGCACTTACATATTTTCAGGCTTGGCCATCCTATTTCTACAGTACGTATCTGTCATAAAATGATGTTTTGCCCTCTTTCAGCAATATTTATTCAGTGATGCTTCTGTGGACTTCCTACTGGAAACATTTGAACGTCTTGGATACAAAAATATTTTGTGTATTGGCACTCCACGGTAACAATACTTATCCTGTATTTGGTTTATCCTATCAAATATGTCCTCGGCTCCTCTCAGGGGTTGAAATAAGCAGACATCTGGTCGCCAATTGTGACCAAATTTTTCATCTGACAACCAGACGATATTTGCCAAAGGTAGCCATGGTGACTGAGGAAAATTTAAAATAATAAAATAATTCAATCAAATATGATATTGCATTCTGCTTTTTAATTGCATTCTGCTTTTGAAAACATATTTTAAAATGTTTAAAAACATTACTATTTCTTCAATTCATGTTCTCTACATACAAAGAGAAAATTCCAGCCCCTTTAATACTGAAGTCCTAGCTGCCACAACCACTTTTACTGAAGTCCTGCCATCAAACTAAATACTGTATTAAAATATTATATACAGTATGTGTCTAAACTGTAGAATACACGAAGCAATTCAAACAAAGAAAGTTAATGAAATGGACAGCATTTTGTTGGATCTAGATCACAGATATGTATGTAACAATGTTTAAATACCATGTTCAAATATTTCATTGCTGATTCTTTATGTTGCTACCTCAGAGACATTTTTCTTCCACAGGAAGCCCCCCTTGAAATTATTCCCCCAGTCAAATCAGCATTTTGTGATTAACCCAATCTATTAACCCCTCCCTAGAAGTGTGAAACTGCCATATACATATACAAGTGTATGCCCTGATTTTGATTTGTTTGTCACATATATTACGAAAGTCACCGAACTGTGGAATCGCATCAAAAATTTGTATATTGACCACTCCCACAAACGTCTACGACCGCGCCTACATAGTTTTGCATGTTTACAATTCTAATTTTAAACAGCCAATTACCAAGAACCTGATTGGCTGTTCAAAATTAGAATTGTAAACATGCAAAACTTTGTAGGCGCGGTCGTAGACGTTTGTGGGAGTGGTCGATAGAAGAATTTTTGATGCGATTCCACAGTTCGGTGACTTTCGTAATATCAAGCAAAATAAAATATTTCAAGAGACAAGAGAGAAAATGTGTAATGTAAAATAACTTGATTATTATAATTCAAGGATTATACGAAGGTATAAATTCAACGTTTCTGTCTGCAGTCTTTTTAATAATAATTTAAAAATATTATGGAAAAAGATGAACTTTTTAGAAGAATAAGTAAAATAACTAGTTTTCCAATTTTCAAAATTACCTTTACAGAAGAAGAGATTTCTAAATTCTAAATGAATTCTAAATTTTAAATTCTTTAAAGAATATTTTTTCTTTCAGGCACAATTCAATGACGAAGGTCGTTTTATCCACTATAATATGTTCAACCATCATTTTTTCGACGAGGATTTGGCCAAGCCACTTCTTCAAAACTTCTTTGAAAATTCCAAACTAAATTCACTATTGGTTGTCTTGGATCCACCATTTGGTGGACTGGTCGAAGTTTTGGCTGCAAGTATCAGGAAAATATGGAAACTTGCTGATTGTAATAAGGATAATAAAGGTAAAATGAAGAAATCTGGTTATTTCCTTATACGGGTATGTTTTGCCCAAATGATTTTCTCATCTCGTAACCGGAGTTTTTCAAATGAGCTAAATTCATGATTTCTTGAAGAAATTTAGGGTTGAAGTTTTGAAATAGTTTTGAACTTGTAGTAGACCAGTTAAAAATTTGTCAACCCCCAGTGATATTGTTATAATTCACACCTAAGAATCTCAATAAAAGTGTAAAAACTCTGAACTTCAATTTATAATCTGATTTTATTTTTATCTTAGAACTGCCAACGTTCTGGATTTTTCCATATTTTATGGAAAGTCATATTGTGGAAGAAATGCCATCGTTTAACATGTGTGAGCTTAAGGTATGGGTTTATTTATTCTTGAACGATATGCGACAGTAATACATACAGTAGTAGGTCTTGTAGTAATATCCATGCACTAACAAACTTTCCAGACAAAGGACCTTCGCTCGAAACGTCGAAGTTCCCCTTGTACCTAGAGATACAGTACAGTACTGAAATATATTGGATTTAACTCAACCTACAGGTATTTGACGAGTCAGCTTGTAGATGGAAATTATTGAGTGCAAATTTATATATTGTACATTTATTAGACCTATTATTATTGGCATGACAAAATTACTGGATGCTGATTGGTTGAAAGGAGTACAATTATTTCATTAATTATTTATCTTCTGTAATCAGTGGCAAGTACTGCAATTTCATTGGTTTACAGGAGTGCGATTTGAGCATTAATCGCACCTTTTCTGAGCTGTAATCGCACTCTTGTCTACAGCCAATGAAAATCAGTCTAGTATTTACAACTAGCCAATCAGCATTCAGGATACAAACTTTGAATTTTATTTTTTTTATTGCTGTAAAAAAATTCAAAATGGAGGAATTCACAAATTTTGACCTTTTAATTTTTAAATCAGCCCTCGAAAACCGTCAAAATTGAGGTCGGAAAAAAAATGCCGACCTAAATCTGACCTAGCTCGACACATCTCGGCATTTTTTAAAATCTGTTTCCATGTCTTGGAGCACTAGTAGCCTGCACTAGTAATCACGTATTTACGAATCATTGAAAAGTATAAATGTCACGAAGCCTTTTCTTTTAGAGTTTTTCCGAAATTATATCATAAATATACCCGTTAATTCTCAAACCTTACACCAAAGTGCATCGAATTCTATAATCGCTGACTTTTTAACAGCTATAAGCACCAAAAAAGATTATTACTTTGGCTGAATTAAGGTCGGCAAAACATAGGCATTTTAATACTGTAGGTCGGCATTGCCGAATGCCGATCTCGTTTTCGAGGGTTGTTAAATTATATATTTTCTGACGAAAATGACCTACCTGTTCATCCAGCAGAAGACACCGAACTAAACATAACCAGGAGTTATATTTCTATCCAATTCAGATGATTAATTGGACTAAAGAACTTCACTATTTTGAACACGTTATAAACATACAAACATGGCTTCCCAATTGTGTGTTGAATAATTCAAACAAATGTTGTCATGTGATTATACCGGATATAATGCCCGGAAGTTAATAATATGTTAATTTGATTATATATGATAAACAATAATTCAAAATTGTACTATTTCACTAAGAATTGTCGTGACAAAAATTTAATAATTATATTGAACTTCAACAAATTGTATTTTTCTGCTTTTCCCCCTTAAACAGTTTGATTACAGAAGATAAATAATTAATAAGTAATAGAACGAATTAAAGTCGTACTATTAATGCCATAATCATACTCGTGATTAACAAATCAACCTCCCGCTACGCGGTCGGTTGATTTTGTAATCACTCGTATGATTATGGCATTAATAGCACTCCTATTCGTTCTATTACCATCATTAATTTTGTACTGCAGTACAATTAATGATTTTCCCAAAACAAACAAAATGGCGGAAACGTATTTTAAACACAGATGTGAAATGAAATTGCCGTGAAGGAACTAGATGAAAATACGAACAAAAGCACCAAATTTTGATTTAACAAAATAACTAAATGAAAATACAAACAAAAGCACCAAATTTTGGTTGAAAGTCTGGCAGAATTGGGCTTTGGCGAGAGAGTATGATGTTGACATTACGTATCCAATTTTGTCATGCTAATAATAAACAAAACTAATAATAAACTCGTGATGTTTGGAAATTTGCCAAATTAGACTCGCCGCGGCGGCTCGTCCAATTTTGGCAAAATTTCCAAACATCACTCGTACTATTAATCCCTAATTGTACTCGCCATCGCATGATTACCTATACTAACCAGGAAGAGTTGCGAAAAATGCAACTACGGGTTCCGTAGGAATGAAATCTACGGCCCTGCGATTCCGGTGCAGCGCTCTAACCAACTGAGGTACAGAATCCAGTAGTCAAGCTCTATTCAGTTTTACACATTTTTATGACTCAATGTTTTAATTCTTTCTCTAGGTTAACTATGACAATCACCCGCTATATAAGAAACGACACAGTTCCAGCGCTAAAACATCACCTGTCAGAATATTTACCAACGTTTCATTACGAGATATCGTTTTGCCTGAAGACGAAGGTTATAGGTAAAGTTCCATTAAAAATGTTATATGCCTAGGGCCTTTTTAGATCAGGGGTGTGGCAAATAATTACAATTTGGGGGGGGGGAGAGGTTGTAATGCATTTTTCTTTCAAATTATTTTTTTTATCCTAATGTATAGATACTGTGAAAAATGCGAACGTTATGTGAGTGAGAGCAATGTACACTGCGAGCTGTGCAACGATTGTACTTCAAAGGTAATGGTTAGTTTAATCTATATGTACCGCTAGCTCATACTGTTTCTCCTGTGTGCGGGCAGTTGAGGATTTAATCTCGAGGCCTTGAGGAAAATACCTAATCGTGTTTGATATTTTTCGCCTCCCGAGGAAAAATCTCAACGTCTGCGATGGAGGGTGCGAGCTCAGAACTGAGCTGCTTGAATTAAGTAGCCAATGAGAACACATAGTTTCTTCACGTGACTTTGGTTAAAATGGTGAGAATGGAGGGAAGTGCAAACTATCTTATCAACGTCGTTTCTGTTGAGTAGTTTTCCCCAACTTGTGCGGCGAAAATTATCAATAGTCATGCCAGCTTTTGGACAAGAAAAATTAGTTCGTGCGTATTTGGGCGCCAAGGAAAACTTCCCAAGTGTACAAGAAATACTTCAATCAATGGTTTTGGCAAACAAAAGGCGGCCTTCACGTTTGATAAATGTTTAACAAAGGAAAGTTGTCAAGAAAAACTTGTTGACGGTACACACGAGAAATAAGTTAATACTTTACATTTCAGGATGGTCGCATATGGTTACATTGTGGTTTGTGTAACAAATGTGTGAAAAAAGGTAGAGTAACACCAGCCTATATATAACCTTAGTTTATATAGTTATTTTTCTAGCACTTGTGTTGGGAGCCCTAACGTTTGGTTTTAGATGGGGGCTTTTTGGTGTCGCAGTTTTCAGTGCAAGCGCCACCGCTGAGGTCAACTCGTTTTCGGCTCGAGACATTTATGTGAATAAAATTCAGCAACGCTGTGCTTAAAAACGTGGATTTTCTTTGCTTACTTCTCACAAGGAATGTTTACAGGCGGGTTAGAATACACATTGTCTTTGGGAGATATTAATGATCCTGTACTATTAACTGCATATCGTGATTGAACAACTATTCTCGTATGTATAACTTAATGGGCAACGAAATATTGTGTATACGCGTAAAAGATTGGTTTATATCAAGGCGTTGTCTGCAGACGGGTTTTATAGTAAACCTAGCCACATTTCAAGTCTGATACTTTTCAGTGTGGAATTTGAACATACGAAATATTTTCATATGCATGCATTTGTGTTTAATAACATGTTCTTTTCACTTATAAAATCAAGATTAATATACTGTATGTGGAAGTTAATTGTACATGTAAAATTACTATTTTAGATCGGGTTCATTGTCAGTCGTGTGATCGCTGTGAAGTTGCGGAACATGTTTGTCAGCGGTATGATTCACCGGCATTGACCTCTATGTAAACTGGAAAGTTAACTCAGGGTGGGAAGTTGAAGCCAGTGCATTTTAGCGATGTAGTTGTTCTGAGTTCTGAGCAGAAATACTCAACACTGAACGTTGTGCTGTATATGAAACTGAAACTATTGAAAAACGCTATTTGGTATAGAAATTTCATGACTTTAGCTAAAAAGGAAATATTTAAAAACTACAAAAACAATTGCCGATAATTTGCCATTTTTTGGCCGAATGGCAGTTGTTTTTGTATTTTTAAAATATTTTTCTTTTCGCTGTAGTCTTGAAATTTCCACACCGAATAGCAATTTTCAATAGCTTCAGTTTGATATATAGTCCAACGTTTGGGATCAAGTATTTCTGGTCATAACTCAGAAAAACTATTTTGGCTTCAGCAAATCATATAGGCTTTATTATAGGAGTTAGCCTTTCAGTTTACATAGAGTTTACTGTTCATTGGTGTCTTAATTAATTAATTAACTGAATCTTACATATTTTAATATATCCCAAGCTTTTTTTATTAACTAAATCTTAGAGTAATACTTTATGTGACACGATGGGAATTTTTTATTACGCCGTTTGAAAGAATCAAAGTTGTAAATTAATTTTTTTTTACAATTTTGTGTTTTCGTTGTTCCTTGGCATTCATCACCAACAAATTTACGTCATATTTTGCATAATGAGCTAAAATTTCTATGTTCACAAAAATTAATTACTGTACGCAATGTATTCATAACACAACGAATTAACCTGTATTTAAAGTGATTTAATGCAAAAGATAGCTGTTTGCAAGAACTTAATTATCTTACCAAAGAATCGTAGGTAACAGTTTTTTCATATGGAATGATAAAAATAGTTTGCGTTTTGTCACATTTAAGTTCTACTAAATAAGGAAATTAATCGTTGTCTGGGAGCCACGAGTATTTGAGTTTGGGTAATGGTCGAGGGTCGAAGGTCATAAGTCGAGGGTCATACATAGGTCGAGGGTCGAAAGTCGAGGTCGAGGGTCAAACGTCGAGGTCGAGGGTCAAAAGTCGAGGTCGAGGGAGAAAAGTCGAGGGTCGAAAGTCGAAAATACTAAATTTTTATCCATTTTAAAAGTTTTACAACCATTAAACGCGGCAAAACAATTATTTTGCTGTCAAAACTGAAAAATTTCGCCTATGGCTATGCCGTATGGCTATGTACTGTATAACTGAAAGTTTCGCTTGTGGAACTAAAGCCCCGTTTACGTTTTTTGGAGTTTAAAATATACAAACACGGACGATTATACAAAAATGGCGTTTCACTCTCATGAGAAATTTGATTATAGGTATAAATATGTTATCTCTTGGAGGCGAAAGAGTTCCGAAATTCTCAGAACTTCAACTTAACGATACTTGTCATACCGCGTATGGTTTTGGAGGGTTAAAGCGTTAGGGTGTGCGAGAAACAGTTGATATTTATATATTTTATAACATCATGTCTGCACCGGAAGTGCACATGTTCTCGATGGACCTTTCCTTTTCCTTCTGGACCTTTTTCTTTTGTTATGCATTGTTTTAATTAGGCACAGAGGTGAAAATATGCGATTTTGACTAACATTTTTGATCGGCCTCGTACATGCTTATTTTTTCTCCACTTGGCATGAAAAGCATGTCATTCAATAGCTAAAAGCCTGATCTTTTCGAATATGAAAACTAATTGTTCATACGCCGAGTGATTCACGTATAATAGCGCGCTGAAGTTCGATTACCTTTTTTTTTATACACCCTGTAGTGTAGTGAAATGGAAACTTTCTTTAGTTATTCTGTCAAAAATAACATGCACGAAGCACGAATCTTTATAACAGGGTGATTTTAGTCTGGTTCAGAATTATCTCACGACCATTGTGAGAGATTTTTGCTGCGCTGGGACTCGATTCGTTCTGATAGTACAAATACAATATATTTTCGGATCACCCCACCCAAGGAAAAATTAATATTTCCCATTTTCGACCCTCGACTTTTGACCCTCGACATATGACCCTCGACACTCGACCATTACCCAAACTCCGAGTATTTCTGCACATAATTAAGACTTGAAGGTGTGTTTTACATGTTGATAAGTGAATGTATAAAACCCCTTGAACATACATGCAATATCGTTTTGTCACATATTTAATTTTGACGACGTGTTTAGGTCTTTGAGAGGTTGTCATATTTGTGGAAAACTGGATCACAAAAGAAAGAACTGTCCTGACAGACCTCGACTTCACTCAGGTGGAAATAAAAGGTACTCAAACACATTTCTGATGTTGTAGTAAAAAAATAGTGACGGCTATATCCTGACTTCGTTGTTTACTTTTTTGGAAGACTATTTTTCATGAAAGTGACCCCTACGTGCATGTTTGTGGGCGGAAGGCTTGTGGAACTTACTCTAATAGAGTATTTACAGCATACGGTCATTCCCTTTTATTTATAGGAAAATGGGAAAAGAAAAGTCTTCCAAGATAAAAAAGAGTAAAGGAATATCAGAATGACAACTTTCTTTCAAACTTTGAAAATGAACGTTCAATGGTCCAACCGTCCTTTCAAAGTCAGAACTTGCAACCGCCAAACGTCGACCTCTCAACGTGTAAAATGCATTGGCTTTGTACACATAATCGAGTGTGAATAGAGACATTAAAGTTGCCTTTTGCTAATGTTTTGCTAATGTTTTGCTTTGCTAATGCTAATAAAATTTGGGCTTGTAATGAGGCCTTGTTTAGGACGTTAAACTGCTTCTCGTGCAGGGGCGAAACTAGCCCCTTTAAATTCTGGGGTGTGTCTGCCAGAATTGCCCTGCCAAAACCGATAATGCCCTGCAGCAAATTTTTATTTCTGGCCACTATTTTTCCTAAAAATGTTGGCGAACGGGGGTGGGGGTTGAAAAAAAAAATTCCGGACATTAAAAAAAGGGTCAAATTTTCCCGGCCATATAAAAACAGTTAAATTAATGGACAACAAAATTTTTCCGTACAAATTCCTGTTAAAACATAGGTGAAACCATTATTTTTGGACCAATTACATGTAAAATTTAGGTCTATAAATTCTATTCAATTCCCTCTGAAAGCCCTGTATGTTACGTAATAACTCTACATTAGCTATCATTTAAAATCTTTGATTGCCCTGCCAATCCAGATGATTCGCCCTGCCAATCCAGATATTCGTATTTTGGGGGTGTCACCCCCCATACCCCCTCAAGTTTCGCCCCTGTTCGTGTGGCTTTTGGAATTTAAAGTCGAGAATGATCAATTTAGACTGTAGAGGTACAATTATGCGTTTGCCCTTTGTCGGGCAAAAGAACATCTTATAGGGAGACAAAAGCAGCAATACCTGATGACAACTATATACATGGCTACCCAATAAAGTAAAAAATATTTATACTCGAATAACACCTTCGCCATTTCAAAGTCAACTAACTACAAATCGTACTGGTAACATGTCTGACTGCCCTTTATCTTGCATTTGACGGCACCGTTGAACAGATTTTATTAACTCAAAATCTACTGTAAACCCATTCTTTGTTTGCAATCACGTGTTTTTTCATCCAAATGACGGGCAATCGAACAACTTGTGGATGATTTTTCTCCTATCAGAATAAAATAGTCGTTTTTTGTCATACCTTCCCGTCAACTGAAATCCCAAAATTACGTCACTGCAAACAAAAAGAATAGGCTGCATCTACTTGAAGAATGTAAAACGAAATATGCAATGATGAGATATAATTCTGTACTTTATATTTGGAAAACCTTATTGGCAAATCTTGAGAATAATATTAAAAATTGCGAGATATTTGGTTAGCATACATATATGTCATTTACACGATGAAACCCCAACTTTTGTTGATTTCTTTAAATAAAAAAGGTCGCCAAAAGGATTAGGATTAATCTGGGATTAGATTGGGGTTAGAGCCTTAGAGGTTAGGGAGGGGGTTTGGTTTCCCTTATTTTGACTATTATCATTAAAATAAGGCGAATGGTTAATTGACGATTATCGCCGTTAAAATAAGGGTGAGGACATGCTGAAGAAATATGGCAAGGAAACATGGCAACACACATTTAAATTAAACTTTTTTAACGTAAAGACGTTATTTAGCTTAAAATATTAAGTGAAAAACATTAAGCTGTGCATTCCAAAGGTTTAAAATAAGTACTTTTGCTTTATTTTAATGCCTTTTACGTTTTGAAAACCGAGGCAAGCTAATCTAAATATTTTCCCATCATTATTGGGCGTACCGGGCGGGGGTCGGAGGGCAGCAGCCAGTTTGTTTGGACGGAAACAAAGGCCGGTCCGGCAATATTGCGCTTCACAGTCTGGCAATATTGAGCGTGTAAAAGATGCGTGGGACAAGTTCTGTTGTCAGTTTTTGTTGGGAAATATGCTGTATGTAATAGGAATTTTTCGTAATCAATCCCCCCCCCCGTCGACAACAATTTTGGAAAGTTTCTCCAAAAATTTTTTTTGACAACGCGGGCACAATCCGTAAGCCCATGCCATCATTTGTTTAATTTGAACATAGAACACTTGGCTATATAAGTTATAAAAGTATTTTCAGCTGATCTGAAAGATTTCAGTATCCCGGTACACAATTTAACAAAAGAATGACGTAATTTCAAAAATTAAATATGCATATAAAAAACAATAGTTTTTATTAGAACAACACAAAAGGCTACACAAGCGTTTTGTCGTTATCGTAAAATGTATGGCTTATAAGTTGTCATTACTCAGTGAATGCGCGTATACATGAAACTGTCTTTTACAGTTTCAATATTAGTTTGTAAATCTCTGAATGGTAAAACTTGACAATACTCCAATAATACGTTTCAAAAAAGACAAAAAACCTTTACCTTTGCAAAGTTAAATTCTCAAACGTGTAAAGGCCACACAGACCGGACGCGATTCGGCAACGCGAATTTTCAGTTTTCAACTGACAAATAAAACCATCAACGGATAAAAATTTTACAAGGTATGCAGACCAAATAGCTAAATTGCTAAGTGGTCCCGATTATTTGAAAAACAATGAAAATATTAAAGTTAAATGTCATTGAAAACTGAAAATTCGCGTTGCCAAATAGCGTCCGGTCTGTATGGGCCTTACTTAAGGCACTAATAAGATGAACGTATCACGAAATTATTTGAAAAAATCACATCACATATATGGGGGGCGAATATCCTAAAGGG